GAGAGAGAGAGAGAGAGAGAGAACCTACCCCCTTCCTGTTATTAACAATATACGTCCCTGGAATGTTAAAGTTTCTTGAACCATTATGCATTAGGAATAAATCACGACGCGGTGGAATCAAGCACTCGTCAAATTTCTTGCATATGCTGTTATTGTTATGATCTGAAACCAGGCTTATTTGCCTTTATTGAAATGAAAAAAATGCTCTTGTATCTTGAATAGAAGGCGAGATATTTGCAATTGAATGAGGCGAGGGTTGCCTGATGTCAGAGGTAAAACTCGCTACAAAATGACCACCAAAGTTAGGTGACTTCCAAAGCTGCAGTGTCCTTGGAAACAGCAAAATTACATTTAATTTGTTTTCGTGCCTGCGTCCATTGTTTTTCAGTTAAATCCTCGCTTGAATTTGTTTTAAATAGGCACAAAAGGTGCTGAGCCAAAAAGAGTGAATCCATCAGAATTGCCAACCAAATGAGAACATGTTGGTTACTTCGCTTTCATTATTTTGACGAGCGCATGATTTCATTACGATGTAAAATTGTTAGGGCACGCAACCGTGTGGTACGTGGACACACATAGCCGTGACCCTCTTCTACAGACGATCAAGTTGTGGGCTGTTGGCTTGATTGCTTGCAGGTTTAAGCAGACGTGAACGGACGAGGCACTGGGCCATATAAATACTAGGCTCCAGAGCTACGTCGTTTTGTTGTCAAAATGGATATCGAACTGTCTACGCCATGGACTCTTGCAGTTGCTGCTGCAGTGCTGTGTCTCTTTTACTTGTTGACCAAAAAGTTTTTGTTGAAAAGCGGCAACCGTCCACCTGGGCCTCGAGGATGGAAAGGGTTTATGGAGATCTTGCAAGCGGGCCGTGACGACACTCTATACGAAGCAGCCTGGGGGTGGGCGGAAAAATATGGAGACATAACTTTCTACACTGTGTTAGGTCAGCCCATGTGCATACTTAACTCGTCGGATATCTCCCGGAGACTCTTCGGCTCGGACGAGTACAAACTGCTCACAGCAGACCGCGACCCTACAGTGGTATCAGAATTAGCGTGGTATAATGGGAAGGAGCTTTTCTTCACACCTTATAATTCCCAAACCAGACAGAAGAGAACTTTGTTCCACAAGGTAATGGGAATCCACGGGGAAGGCGTGGACAAGTTTGAAGGTGTCGTTGGTAAAGAGCTTGACCGTGTTCTGAAGAAGATGGACACTATTAGAGCTACAGGCCAGGATATCCCAATAACTCAGATTTTGTCGAGATCTCTGAAGATCATTTTGTACGTGCTGGTAAGTCACTGACACGTTTTAAAAATTCTTTAATGACTTGGCAGACATATGTCCGACCAGTAGCAGACCAAAGACAATGTTGCAGCCCTTTTCGAACCATCGTATATATCTGTATTTTTGTGCTTTTTTTTGTCGTTTTCGTGCTTTAATCAAGGGTAAGCAAATACGAGAAAGGTGATAATATGAATGCATCCTTGTTTCACTCCTTGTATGTATCCGGAAGCTGTTGGTAAATTGACCTTCGTGGATCGCTTTGCTGATTATATCTTTGCGGTATTCCAGGATTAGTCTTACTAAGTTGTTGTTCTTTCAGGATGCCGTAATGTCTGAGAATATTCCGAAAAGTGGCATGATGGATGCTGCTGAATTCTTTGAATACATATAATTTCTTGTGGTTCAGTTTATTATTCTTAACTTACTATTTCTATATTCCTAACTCGTCAGATCAAAGGTGACATCGATCCTGAAAAACTCAGCCAAGATGTCACCGATACGATGGAGCGCTACGACAATGCAATAAACCAGATGTTTGACATACAAACTGTTACAGCTCTCACATTCTTCCCGTTTCTTCGCAAAGTCGGCAAGTACAAGAAGATTTGCGATGACGTCGTTGAAAGTAAAGTCGAAGCTGAGAAAATTATGTTTGAAGAACTTAAGGTATGCCTATTAAGGCCATGTCTGCGATTATACTCATTATTTGGAATAACGTAAATATAGGCTCCCCAATCGGAAGTTATCTAACTTACTACGCAAATCCAAGGTCTTCACTTTCTATGGGGCACAATTATGTCACAGTGATGTCATTTCCGAAAACACATAACATATTTCAGTACTTTCAATAGGAATCGGGGGGGGGGGGGGGGGGGGGGGGGGGGGTTTAAAAATCTACTTTTACAGTTATCTACTTATTCGATTTTAAGAGCCATTGTTGTTTTAGATGGTGGTTATTTTGTGCTTTCGTTAAAAAAAGTCAACCTAATGATGTGTTTAAGACATTCTGAGTACACCGTTTTTTTAAAGCTTTATTCAACATTGTCAATATGCATAAAATACTGTTGTGATAGTAATAGAAGTAGCAGCAACAATAGCAGTAGTAGTAGCAGTAGTAGTAGTAGCAGCAGAAGCAGCAGCAGCAGCAGTAGCAGTAGTAGTAGTAGTAGTAGTAGTAGTAGTAGTAGTAGTAGTAGTAGTAGTAGTAGCAGTAACAGCAGCAGCAGCAGCAGCAGCAGCAGCAGCAGCAGCAGCAGCAGCAGCAGCAGCAGCAGCAGCAGCAGCAGCAGCAGCAGCAGCAGCAGCAGCAGCAGCAGCAGGTTTGTTTCTTTATAAATTTCTGTCTTTGGCCTAATATAACTCCCGGTGATGTGGATAATAACTCTCTGCAGTCCACGTACCAAGAAGGCAAAGTGCGGGGTATGGCCGATGCGTTGCTCCATTTCCAGAGCCAGCCCGGACACGAATGGCTGGACGATGAGAATATCAAAGGCTTCCTCACCACTACCTTTTTCGGGGGTCAGTAAACTCTGAATGAACTCGTCTTGGCACAAGGCAGAAGAAATAATCAAACCCTTCACAAGCTGTTCAACTTTTCTAAGCCCAAGAAGTAAAAACTTTTTTTAAAGAGGGACAAAGAACCCCCAACAGCAACAACCCAAAAAGAAAAGCAAAATAAAAAAAACAACCAAAACAACCCCCCCAAAAAAAAACAACAACAACAAAACAACAACAACAACAACACAATAAAAAAAAACCAGCAACAAAACAAAACAAAGACGTAAACCAAAACCTGTTATCACTCTTTTTAGAATTGTACCTACATGATGTATCTGTTCCTATTTTTTTTTCATGTTTAGAATTTGAATTTCGACAAAAAAGGTTTCTGGTGCACATGCAACTGATATCACAGATTCAGAAACTGCCATAAAACCCCAAAACTGTGGGCTAAGTACATCTTAAGAGCTGAAATAATTTTCTGATGAATAAAATGTAAAATTAAAAATAACTTAATTTTCATTATATTAGATGGAACAAACAACCTTTCCTGGTTGTCAAGAATTGGTGGATCTATCATCGTTAAAAACCCATCCACCTTACATCTTAATCCTCTGACCAGAAACATTTCTAGCTATTCTTGCGATTAAACTTGATTTGGGCTTTTCTCTCCTCAATAATAAGCACCCATCAAAAAGATAATGGCCAACTATGAATTACGAAGACTCAATGTGCTCAAATAAACAATGAAACTGACTTTACTGGTCACTGTGATTGCCCATCTATAATGAAATGCCGTGAAGTTCCGTTTTGTTGGACCAGTGAGCCTATCGGTTGATTATTGCAGATGATGTCTTTTGTGTAATGGTTCGTCATTTTCAAGACACAAGAGAATAATGCCTTTTCACTATGTGAAGATATATATGTCAAACATGTCTTAGACATGCTACTTGAAGAGCTGGCCGTTCGGAGGACTACAAGGCACAATCTGTTGTACGACAGAATTTAATCACCTTTGATAGGCGCCGTCATTTTGAACCAAGTGAATCATCCAGAGATGTTAATACTGGGGGGCAAAGCAGCTTTTGTGAAAGTGGGTCGGAATTCTAGAGAACAATGATGGCTTTATAAGATTGGTCATTAGGAATGTTACTTTCAAGCACGAATGCCAAAGGATACAGCAGGTCAAGAAATATCGATAAATTTGTTCAACATTGTCAAACATTAATTGACCGCTATATTTTCCCAGCTCACATGACGTCACGAGCTAGTCTTCTGAACATGGTACTGACCTTGATCCACCACCCAGAGGTGGCACGTCGGATACAGGAGGAGATCGAGTCTGTGCTCGGGGATCGAAGACCACGAGTCGAGGATCGGATGAGTATGCACTATACGGAAGCCGTGATTCTTGAGAACATCAGGTAAGAGGGATAGTAGAGTGTCTCTCTCTGTCTCTCTCTCTGTGTCAGTGTGTGTCGGTGTGTGTGTGTGTGTGTGTGTGTGTGTGTGTGTGTGTGTGTGTGTGTGTGTGTGTGTGTGTGTGTGTGTTAAGAGACCGAGAGAGAGAGAGAGAGAGACAGAGAGAGAGACAGAGAGACAGAGAGAGAGACAGAGAGAGAGACAGAGAGAGAGACAGAGAGAGAGAGAGACAGAGACAGAAGGGGGGGGGGGGAGTGGGTGGTAACGATCGCATTCAATAAACATAAATCCAAGGTTAGACCAAAGTGGTGCCCGCGATTGTTTTGTCCCATGTTTGGAAATTTGTTCGTCAAGTGCCGTTTTCGCGGACCAAAACTTACATTGCTACCCCTAAACCTTAGGAAAAAAAATATAATAACGAGTAGATTTCCAGTTTACATGCACACCTCAAGCACCGACGGCACACATGTACTCTACGTTATTTTCATTTTTTTCAAATCTAACTTTATTCTAGCGGGAATCTGATAAAATGTGTTACAGTGAGGAAAAAAAAAGACGAACACTGCATTGTTTATTCCGTTTTCCCTCTGAATTGTGTGGATAGATGAAGCAGTTTAGGAGAGAGGGCCTCAAAAGCATGAATGAAGCCTGCCTATTGGTCTCTAATAAGGTGTTAAACAAATCCGTAAAAGAACATCACGCCCCCCCCCCCCCCCCCCCCCCTTGAGAAAAACAAGGCATACAAACCAGCAAATGAACAAAAGCAAAATAAAAAAGACGAACCAAAACAAGTAAAATACAAAGAAACAAACAAATAAAGAAACAATTTTTTTTTAACGAACAACAACAACAACACCCCCCCCCCCCCCCTTTCCTCCAAAAAAAAAGTACTGAGCAAATGATAATAATAATTATTATTCTCAGATTTGTTAGCCAGGTCCCTCTCAGTGGCCTACGCAGTGGTCGTGAGGACATCCACATTGATGGATACGTTATCCCAAAAGGCACGCGGGTAAGTGATAACAGACAAGCATACACTTTGATATTGGTATCTTTTTTAACTTGACATACATTTTGACTTTCAAAAAAAAAAATCAGAAGATATCACATCTCCTTTATATGAACAATTAAAGAACACACAAACACGTTCCGAAAAGAAAGATGCATCAGTCAACTTGCTGTCTTTTGGATGTATAATAATATTTATATAGATGCAACCCCAATATGAATCTTTAGCTGTCAGAAACCCATTTTTCTTTTAATGTTTAAAATTACCACTTTCTTTCAGATCATGGCGAACCAGTGGTTTTTTCATCATAACCCTGAACTCTGGGACGATCCCTGGAAGTTCAAGCCTGAACGATTTTTAGATGAGAGTGGGGTCATACTGCCAGCCAATCATCCAGTGCGTAAAAAGTGAGTTTGAGAGGAATCTTAGTCCTACACTAAAGTACGGTGTTAGCATCTACTAATTTTGCTCATACTTGCTCTTTGTCCTGTGAGTGCAATATGTGCCTTAATATTTTTGTTTAAGTTTAGTCCTGCTTTTCTGTTGAGGTGTATCTTTTGGTGAAGAGGGGGTTTGCTCAAATAACAATGATTGTCGACAGCGAAGAGTTGGGACTGACATGCTAACGGAACATTTTCTTTTTATCTGCCTATTTTAATGTCGGTTTGTTAAATTTAAGTAAGCGTTTTACGGTATTTGCAGCATGAATAGGTCATATCAGGGTTGAAGATTAGTGATGTTACTAGAGAATAATACGAAAAGGAAAAAAAAGGAAAACAAAGATGTGGACAACGTCTTGTAAGCAAAAACGAGTTAGGCGATATTATGAAGACCACGTGGGCTCCTTAAAACGCGCGAGCTGCTTCAGGGCTAGGTATAGGCCAGGCAAGGGTTGGACCTGCAGATACATGATCAACATCATCATCATCATCATCATCATCATCATCATCATCATCATCATCATCATCATACCAGATCTGTGGCTAACATCGGCGATCATGGTTCTCCTTTCATTCCTTTGGATGCTCTTAAAAAGCTTCCCCTGTTAGCCATCTGTTTAGGTTCTCTAAGCAAATTGTTTTGAGCCTACCCTTGCCTCTTTAGCCTTTAATTTTGCAAGTGAGAGCTAGATGTTCAAGACCTTTACATCTATTCAGGTGTCCCAAAAACTGTATTTGTCTTTTTCCGATTATTTTTATCAGTGAGTGAGCATCCCACGTGGGCTTCATCAAGTACTATATAGTATATCTCGTTTGATTTCTTTTCCTTCCAAGATATTCTCAGCAGTCTACTAAGAAACCGTATTTCTGAGGCTTTATTTTATTTTCACTATCTTTAGTAATTGTTCAGCGTTCAAAGCCATAGGAGGGTTGACCATACATACAATTTCATAACTTTCATTTTCGTAGTCATTAAAATGTTTCTATCTTTCAGGATTGAGCTCATTTGATTGAAACATTCCTTAGCTATTGCAGTTCTTCGCTTCATTTTCTGAGAAACATTTGTCATCAAGTGTTATTATATATCATAGATATTTAAACTGTTGAACTTGTTTTATCTTTTCGCTTTTGCTTATGAGATTACAAACAGGATTTGCCACTTTTATTAGGTATTACCATGCATTCTGTTTCTTGACATTCAACAATAAACCTTTACGTTCACTTTCCATTATGACAGTATCTAGAAGCAATTGAACGTTCCTTTCTGAGTCTGCTATTAAAACTGTGTCATCGGCGTATCTGGTGTTATTAATATTTTCGCCGCTTGCTTTGAGACCTGGACATTCTTCTAGGTTCCTAAGGATTGCTTCACTGTTGTGTTAAAGAGGTCTGGTTACATAGCACATAATTGCCTCACTCCTTAAAAAACACCCTATATGCCGTCATGTGCTCATGTGAAAGGCCTATGGGATTTAACTAACAGACGCAATAGGCCATGGCCAACCAAAAGTTGCGCAGCATACATACGTTTGCCACCTTACGTTTCACTGGGCATATACACCGGAAGTAGGTTCATTGATGTGTGCGATAAATGTAGGCCTAATTAAACAGTAAACTGGCGATGGTCGTTGCGTTACGGAGGAATCAGACGCTCGTCAGTTTTTAGCCATATCGATTTACTGGTATAATCCTAAAGCTTGATCATTTGTTTTGAGTTAGATGTAAAAATACCCATCCATCTTGAATAGAAATCGAGACATGTGCGATTGAAGGATATTGGGATCGACAGGTGTCACAGGAAAAATTAGCGAGAAAAAGGCGCCAAAGTTTGATGACTTCCAGAATCCGAATGTCGTGGAAACTGCATAAGTTACATGCTGTGTGCTTGTGATCAATGTGTTTTCAAATGGACATAAAAGATGTTAGGATAAAAACTACATGGACAAACATCTCAAATTTCTATTTTACCAGAATAGTGGGCAGTTCAGCTTCAAAGTCTTAAATGAACTCAACAGAAATAGACTAATGGTCTTTGTTTTGACTCATTTTTACAGGTTTCTGGCCTTTGGGCATGGGGTCAGAATGTGCCCTGGTGAGGCGTTTGCAAGGTCCCGTATTTTTCTCTTCACGGTGATGATCCTCCAGAAATTTGACCTCCTTGCTCCGGAGAACGAACCTCTACCATCCTGTGACCCGAGAGAAAACCTGAACGGGGTCGTAAGACAGGCACCGCCGTTCAAGTGCAGACTGAGGAATCGCTGAAAAATAGATGGCAGAAAAGAGTTACGTTTATTCTTCATTTCTGAACAACTACGCTTGCTTGAACCAATATAAATGATAACATATTACATATTACAAAGGATTTGCCAATAGTGTCTTCAAGGAATACCCTAGTACAATATACTGTTAGCATACTTATTACAAGGTAATATGTACGTGTGGCTCTTTATATATTTAATACCAGTACTTTATTTCGAATGCTTTTGTGTCTAAACGTATATTTGTTAATCTCTGCTCATTTTCTTCTCAGCTTACTGGGAAGAATAAAATGAGATTTTGGTTCTCCTTTTCATCCACTCAGGCCGTCGGCATCGCTTGATAAAACCACTTTAGTTTGAGTTTTAGTTCTCTTTCAAGTCTATATGTGTGTCATTAAGGTGACATCAGACGCTCGTGGATATAATAAAACCGAAGAAATCGATATTTTTTCCACGCGTTTGTTTAGGGCTCAACACCTTTGATGTCCACAGAAAAAAAGAAATTTCTGCATGTATTTGACTTAAAAACATTCAGGCAAGGCAAACACACACACACACACA